AAATATAATAAAATCAGTAACTAGTAAAATTAATGTAACTTACTTCCATCGTCTTCATTAAGTTCACGATAGGCGATGTCTTATACCTAGTAAGTTCTACCCCTACATGCCAGGGTTTTTAAGCTCGAGGTAAGGTCCCTGACCAGAAGTACTTCTAAGAATGTGCGCCAGACTTCGAAATTCCATGGCCGTAGCCTGAGAGATTCTCCATGTTCGAATAATAGGGCTCAGTCATCCATAAGTTACCCGGTCACTTTCATCTCCAACCGCCTTGAACCCCTAGAATAATAAGACGACACGAAATCTCTGCTACCTACCTGTGTTGGCCGCCTATTCAACCCCTTTTCCAGCCTGCCATGTCTATTACTAACTGAATTTTAATATCTAGATACCCCCTACGTAGTGAAATAGGTGAGGTTGCCTATTATCTCTGACGACTGCTAAATTCTCGGCAAATGAAATTTTCGATTGTCATAGATTCTACCGGCACTAGGGGGGCATTTCAATCTAGGTAGCCCTGCTCTAGTTACAGCACAACGTAGGCTTCCTTCGACGACTTTGCTGCAAGTTTCTTTTCCCCAGGGCAAACTCGCCGCAACGAACCCTCTCTATACCGTTGCGTCAGGATGATGTTGAATATGCCGAGCATGCTGTAAGCAGTGTCCTCCTCGCGTTCCGTCCTGCGGTCCGCCATCCAGCTCATCTTAGTGGTGATGCAGGCGTTGCCAAAATGCTTCTCGCCTGTGAGCCACGCCGCAGTTCCTCTGCCAACTCGGCCTTCATAGGAAGGTATTTCCACTCTATGTCGTAGAACTGCATCTCGCCCGGCGTTAGCATATTCTGCCGCGTCCACCCACGCATGAACTACACCGAATCTGTCCCTGTCTCAACACTCCAAAAAATATTCGGCGCCGGTAAGCCGTCACTAGGGTACCTTACATCGCATAGGTACGTGAGGCCTAACTTAGAGTCGCGGTTGTCGGATTGTAATCACCCGTGGCAACCGGACTGGCAACCGTACGTGGCAACGGGAGGGGACCCATAACTATTGTACATATCCATTCCTCCGATAGGCTTAGAGATTAGTTTCTTCTTTTTCTCTTGATCAATCATATCAATACCAAACATACCAACTGTATTACGTAATACAGACACTCTCTCACTCACGTGATAGACCTTGTCTATCCAACAGCGGTACTACTTGAACATGGAGTTGATCGACTCGGTCTTCTTTCGTGATGTGCGAGCTGGTCGAACGTGATTTCCAGCCTGACCCTGCGGTGCGAGAGGATCGCGTAGCCCGCCTCTATGAATAGGTACCGACTGTTCGCCCGAGCACAGTTCGTGCGTCTCAGTGTCAAGGGGGAGCATATTGCCAACTAGCCTATTGCAGAATAATTCATCTAATATTTCGTTCTAAGTGTTCATCCTAAGTCGATAGAGCGAAGAGTGTTGTAGTTTGTAGACACGCAGTAAGCAACACGTAGAAGGTCCAGTAAATGGTAGCGTTAGACGGGGTGATACAAAGTGAGGCCCCTTGGCTGTGCCTACAGCCTCACTTACGGCTCAGCAGCGGCTGAGGTTCGATCAGGCCAATGGGAATGCCGCCGCCACGACCTCCTATATTTTAGTTACCGGCACTAAGACGAGAAGGACATCCAACAACATGTAGATCCACAAGTCCCGCGAAACACGAGGATTAGCTACTTAGGCAGGTTGGAGTTGGATACTGTGTACAAGGAGTATAAATATATTCTATCTTATTATGTACCTGCTATAAATAACCCCACCTAATATTATCAGCAACGGTCGGGACAGTAAGAGAACAAATTCGGATGGTGCGAGCTGGAGGACTGTTCAAAAAGCTGCGTTGAAGATACATATATGATATTCAATCGAAGACTACAGACATCATTTGGCGCTGCTAGAAGTCGGGTTTACATATGGCTTGACCAACAGCAATTTCAAGCCCAATGTCGAACCGTCACTGCATCAGAGACACACAACACTAAGGATAAACTACATAGACATGTTGCACAATATACCTACCTAAGTACCTATCATTCAACTTGGAGAACAGGCGGGGGTTTGTACAATTATTAACGCAGAAAACAAGAGGTATCACGAGATAATGTCTGTATAGGGGTGTTTGATGATGTTAATTGTATGCTGCTAGCAGCAGGTGTAGAGTAGACGCGTTGTAGTGTTCAGTTGCATAGCTCTTTGAGCCTGCGATATGCAATGTACACAAGTCTAGGCAATTTATGCCGCTTTATCCCATTTTATACCCATCCCCATCCCCATCTGTCCCTATCCCTTTCTATCCTATGTCCCTGTGCCGAATATGCCAATGCCCGTGCCATGTCAGTGTTTTTAGGCGTTTTTTGAAGGTACCTAGGTATGAAGTAGGTGTGTGTCCTTCTATCAGTGAATAGTCGGTGATATCCAAGCTGATACTGCCAAGTCTTGGGAGGAAATAGTTAGTTACGAGTGACCATGGTTTGATAATAAATCAATAGAAGAAAATCGTACCTTTTTGTCTGACATTTAGTGTGCCTGCTTCCTTAGAAGCATATTGTACAACGCTTATGTTGTTGGTGGTCATGGCAGACTGGCAGGCAGGCAGACAGTGAGGACTTATATTGTTAGCATCTAAAGTAGAGGGGGATTGTTGGAAGGTTCCTTACTGTCTAGATGCTGTGAGCATCATATCATCTCATAGCTGACTCTCTAGGTCACAAGCCAGATTGACAAGCAGGCACCTCTAGATCACAACCAACCAGCTAGCAGACCTTGAAACTCTTGCATGTCTTTGCCTGACTTCCCCACCATGAGAGTTTTCCGATACGTTAAATCACATTGCTATGCAAAAGGCAGCGCCAGAGGCACGCTTGACTAGTAAGCAAGAGGTGAAGTCGCTGCGCAGAAGAGCCATTGGCAGCCACAAGGACGCTGGGGTTCTGTATAATGCAAGCTTATAGTCAGGTATTTCTCTCAAGGGGGGGTTCTTAGATCACATTGCTATGCAAAAGGCAGCGCCATAGGCGCGCTTGACTGATAAGCAAGAGGTGAGGTAAGATGTGAAGTCACTGCACAGAGGAGCAAGAGACCAAGGAATGCTGCTGCTGTGTGAATGGGAGCTGCTGTCTCAATGACAAGTAACATAGGAGTTGGTGGGATTGTGATGGCTAGCGGAAGGGGACGAATGTTAGATGGCAGAGTTAGCATTGGATGGAGAAGAGAAAGTTACCAGTCTTGATCAAGTCTGCTGATGTTGATCTTTTTGTTTTCTTGTTGTCTCATGGTTTGTTGTGATGAAGGTCAACATGATCAAGAGTAGTTGTTGGTAGTCAAGGGTGACTAGGAAGGATGATGATGTTGTTGTTGTTGATCATCATGATGGATGGGTGGAACAATTGAGGATAGTTGTGATGGATGGCCATGATGGCCAAGGATGATGATGATTGATGATCATGTTGATGATCAAGTAGTAGGAGGATGTGGTGGTGAGCCTTGTGTGTGGGCAGTGGTGTCTGTTTGATGTTGTGTAGGAGAGAAGAGTTGGGACTTTAGGTGGGAAACCCTACGTCTTTATATATTTTTTCCCGGAGGGCAGAATCAGCCGTACAATCAGTAATAGACTCAGCCAGCAAGGTGCACTGTAGGATCAGACCAATGGAGAAAATCCATTTGGTTTCTACGAGACACCCTCATGGCAGAGGGCAGTTGCGTACTGATCCTGCTTTCTCATTGGCCCAATATTCAAGTCACAAAATCAACATACGAGGCTGCTCCTTCCCTGATAGTTGCTACGAACAAACACTGTGCTTGATCTTCCACCGCAGGGCAGTCACGTACCGCCTTGCTCTTGCCACTCCGGGCTACTGCTACTCGACAGGTACCAATGTACTTTACAGAGTCTGTTTTCGAGTTTAAGCGGCCCCTGAACCGTTCTATGATCCATGCCCCAGCACTACAGTGCCTACCGCCTTACCTAAGAAGATCAGGTATCCACCCACATACGTACCTGCTCCCAGTGGACTCTCTGCTTCATGTTCTACTCAAGGATGTCTGTATCTGATTAAACCTAGGCTCCAAACATGCTTACATGTACACATATGGCACTATCTCCCCTATTGAGGAGAAGCTGATGCTCTCTATCACGATGCGGACTACATGGTGGTAATTATAGACTAGACCCCGAGTATACAGACCCTCCTTGTTTCTTGTCCTGACAGGTCAGATCTCCTGACACTTAGATACCTTGACATTATTCTTGGATGCTCTGAATGACCTTGAACATTACCAAGAGGTTGGCTCGGGGGTATCTTGCTTCCTAGACGTTATAGATCCCTCATGGCAAGGCGAAGCAATCACACAACCATAACAATAGGACGTGATACTAAGGCGTGCTACCTGTCATTTCTAGCCCTTGTGAAGCTATATAGAGTACCTTTGATCAGTCATTTATAATATTCGACCTAGCAATCGATCCAGATACAAGTCCTTTAACTCATGACCTAGCATATCTACTAATGACAGATCTCTCGCGCTCTAAGGTTCCATAACAGACACCAGTCTCAATATGTAACATACACACCCACTGAATGTCTGGCGAACTACAGTGTCGTCATGGCTCTCTATCTGCCATCTGTGTGTACGAGTTAGGTTCATCTGCGTGTATTCATATTGCGAGACTAATAGCAATAAACGGAGTGTCCAGCATGTCGTTCTTCCTAAGGAATAATATTATTTGCGAGGCAAATGCTAGGCCGATATAGATTATGTACTGCCGCCGCATATTTCATGTGATATCTGGAAAGATTGGATCCTAGCAGAAATATCTCGTTAGGCATCGGATAGCTGCATTGGGTAGAGGGGGTTTCAAAGGCAACTACGAAGCTGTTGGTCTGCACTTTCCATTCATGGAACACTACCTAGCCACACACCTAATAAGCTCTGCTAGGAATGAATCTGTCACTTCCGAATAAACAACATAGTCCAAGTTGGTGTAGTGGATAACATTCGAGATTCTCATTCTCGGGCCCGGGGTTCGATTCCCCGACTTGGAGTTCTTTTTGCCCTTTTTTGTATTGATTTCTGCTGCCCCTTTTTGTGTTGTCCCCTGTACTCTGCACGCATGATGGTTTATCGATACATCACTTTTGCTGGTTCTATCATTGAAAATATACAAGGCAACTAGTGCCGAATCCATCATTTTTCTAAAACTGGCCATACAATGGTGCAGCTGGTCTTGGAAGAAAACTCGCTGCAGTGACTATGGCAATCATTCCATGATGCTCTCTAGTAAAATCAGGAGATTCTACGCCGGCTACATGGGGCTTCTAGGAGAGCTGTAATATATGTTGAAGTCAGCCAAACGGCGCAGATTCTGAGTAAGCACGGCAGGAGTCGTCGAATTACCACTATCTCAGTAGTCAGCTCCATGAAGTCTGCGGCGCCGTGTCGCCGGCATGCCCGGTAATTGGGTCCGCTGGAGATTAGCCGGCCGATTCTTATTACTTCTTTAGGATGAGCGATATGTGGATCTATTATCTCCGTCTCCGGGCGTAAGCTCGGCTTTGAATTGTCCGTTGTGGTATTCTTACTTAGGTCATGTCTGCTATGTCTCCCTTTACCTCTAATTGTTAGGAGACCTATTCCTTTCGTATGTGGACAGCCCAAGCTATGCATTGATTCAAATAACCTCAAATATTCTTGAGCTAATAGTCAAGCTGGTGTAAGACGAACTGCGAGAAGGATCGTCAGTCCATGGCGGACCCACTTCATCGTGGATGCCACGCCATTAGCTGCATAGGAATGTCAGACAAGCAGATCACGGCGATTCAAAGACGGCGTTGTGAAACATCCATCGGTGGATACTGTCGGAGCTGAAAATAAGGCACACAAATATCATCTAACAAGGGCGGCTCCGAAGCCTTCGCTCTTTATCCCGACTTTGTGAGTTGCGCCGACAACAATCCGACCTCGATCAATTGGGTATAACAGCGTTCTGGAATATTTCCATAACAAGCTTCGTGCTCCAAGTCTGAGTATTTAGCCGGTCTACTTCTGCAGGCTGTACCAAGGCCTCCCGACCTTTCTATCTGAGAACCACCATGTCGTCATAGAAAGAACATATGTCCATAATCAGCCGTTGATGTACGATACGGAGTAACTGAAAAGTTGATAGCCAATAATCCGCGTTATCTGACGCCGGCGGAAGAACCGTTATGACTCTATTCTTGGCCATTCCCTCGGGGGCTACCGCACTATTCGTTCGTCAAGACACCCAAACATATCGTTGCCCGAGTACTATAAGCCTACCGTGTGACAGGAAATTGATATACGCGAGCTGGGTGGTGTGCAGGGGTTTCGAGAGATACTCCGTCGCCGAGTGCTGGCTAAAAAAAAGAGAGATGTAGAGCGCCACTACTATACTTGATTGGTTGAATCCTTTGGATCTCATCCTCCCTTGCATCTACCACCTGTGATGCCCATGTAGACATACAAAAGGAGACTGTCGACCTCCCGATGTTTAGGTCGAGAAGGCGTTTTCCTTCTTACTCATCACGAGCTCTTACTTGTTGTTGCGTGTGTGTGAAAAATGAAAGAAGTAATCGAACCGAATATGGCTGAACCGGGATACAAGCCGAAAGTCCTAATAGTCGGCGCTGGTCTTGGCGGCTTGACCCTCGCCCAAGTCCTCCGCAAACACGGCGTCCCATTCGAGATCTTCGAGCGAGACGAGCATGAAGTCGCTAGAGCTCAGGGATGGTCCCTGACTATGCACAGGTGAGTATCTAATATTTCCAATATTTGATTAAGTACATCGGGTCTAAGTATTTCTTCCAATCGCGCAGTGTGCTGGATGAACTATTCAAAACGTTCCCGGATGATATGCCCAACTTCAAGGATACCGTTCACCATCTCAACCCCCTCAACCTAGAAACCCAAGTTGTTTTCTATTTCCACAATGATCGCCTGGGAACTGAAGGCTCCCCTTCCACTCCGACATTGCGAGCCAACCGTCTACTGCTCCGGAAATGGTTGGCCACCGGCATCCACGTCCAATACGGCAGAGTTGCGAGCAAGATTGAGAGAGTAGGCGACAAGATGATTGTCACCTTCAAGAATGGCACGACCTCCACAGGCGACCTCGTCATTGGCGCCGACGGCGCAAACAGTATCGGTAAGTCCTTGCGCTCGGGACTCGTTCATAACAACGAGAATCTAATGCACATCTAGTGAGAGAGCATGTTCTAGGCAAGCCAAATAAGGACGTTCTTAGAAACGTTCCCATTAGCTCAATCACCGGCGAGACTAAGCTGAGCGGCGAGTTACTCGCACGCCAGCTAGAGATCGCTCACAGCATGGCTATCATCCCAGTCACTTCAGGAGACGCCTGGAACAACCTGTTCATGGGCCTCACCAAACTATCTCCCGATGGTCAGACCGGCGAGTTCTTCTGGGTCATCTCGTGGCACGACCCACTCGCCCAGCAGACCGGTCGTATTGCGGTGAATACCCTCCCAAGAGACGAGCGTCTTGAGATCGCCAAGAGGATGACTGCGCACATGGACCCCAAGTTCCGACGCATCCTAGACGAGACGACCCCGGAAGGAATCCGAGATATCGGCTGGGTGCCGACAGACTGCCACGTCGACGAAGTACCGCTCGGCAGGGCCATAATCCTCGGCGACGCCGTGCACCTGATGATGCCGTACAAAGCCGAGGGCGGCATCCACGCAATGCGCGACGCGCTGCACCTAGGCAAGCTCATATCCGAACTGGAAGCCCCAGACGACGCCGCCCTGCACCGCATGCTCACCACCTTCTATGCCGAGATGCTGCCTCGTGGAGCAGAGGCCGTCGAGCGCTCCAGATACTTCCAGCAGAACTTCAGGAAGGATAAGGACGGTGTCTACGCTTGGGGCCACCCTGTGAAAAGCCTGCCAGATGAGAAGCTGGAGATTGGACCCGAGGGCGTGCGCAGTGTGACGAAAGGGATTTGCAAGTTAAGCTTAGTCCCGAGCATATAATCTATACCATAATTTTACAATTATTTTCTTAACTCTTATGGGTACCTAGGTCCAGAGGTGGATGATCTGTATCTTTGTAGGGAATATTTCTAAATTAAATGGCAATTGTCGTGACTAAATTCACAATCATGCGTGAACAAGAATATAGTGATCAAAACTATGGAAAAAACTTCGATACTTGATCCAAGGAGCTAAATATTAAAGGGGAGGAATCCGCTACTAAGGCCCTTAAGAGAAAGATATGCGTAGGATGCTATGGTTGTGTATGCAGCCTTTGTGATACGACTAAAGATATTAAACCCACCACCTTGATAATTTGATCCGTTACTGGCTGTACCAGGGGGGGTTGGAAAGAGCTCATGAACGTAGTTCTAGTGTGATCTAATGCGTTAAGGAAGCACATATTTCATGATAGACACGATAACTTACGCCGGAGGCTTGATAGAAAGTAGAAAATAGCTTTTTAAGTCTAACCTGATGGTTTATTCTTAGGAAAACTGTAAATTTTGTAATATTGAACACTGGGCGCGGAGTCTACCAACTCATCATGGCTATGATCCAGTTCGCCTATATGAATCCCATCAAGGACGTCTTCGGCCGGTAGGCTCTAAGTTTGTTCAGAAGGTGGGTTCTATCAACCGTAGCGAAGGGAATCGTGCCCTAGCCTCCACTGTCTTTATTAATTTTGTGAAACGCGCACCGAAGGGAATGAATCCCATAGCGCGGCCTCCATGTGGTGCACTCGCCATATTCCATTCCAGTTTAAATGACGCATGTATGTAAGACTCCTTACTTACTGAGTTCAGCTATTCCCGCCGTGTGTCGAGCAGTTTGTTGAACGTACATATTGCGAAGTCCCTTACTGAAAAACGGCATCCTTACCGGTACCTTGACATTATTTTGATTTAGAAGGAGATTATGTGTGTCCCTTGGCACCTGTTTCCCTCCATCTTTCCAATGACAACCTGGGAGAGCCTATACAAGACCACCATAAATTCCAAGCCCTTCCCAGGCCATTATACTCAAGCCCACCTGCTTCCTCTCGTTTCGCCCCAATTCCTACTGCCAAGATCCATCTCCACACTCCCTATGGTATTACCCCAGCCAGGATTATTCAGATACTCCTGGCTCTCCGACCGAAGCTGCTCGACATCGACCATCGTCGTCATGCGGATCATGGGCTCTAGGCTAGACTTTGTGTTGTAGGGGTAGCCGTGGTATCCACTATTATTACCAGAGCGGCTCCCGGTGGGAGACGAAGGTCTTTCCCTGGAAGACAGCGCATCAATTAGGTCAAATGACATTTGACTTGACTTGATGGATGCGCTGCTAGTAGAGGAGGACAGGCGACTCAGCCAGGCGTACACGGGCTTAAGCAGATAGTTGACATTAGGCAGGCACGCGCAAATAACGCTGACGTAGAGCTCAAGGCCGGTCCAGATGGCGACGTCGACGGAGTCAGCTGCGGAAGAAGGAGTAGTTAGCAGAGCAGGAGGAGGAGCAGGAGGAGTTGGCTAGGAGTAAGAAAAGGCAGGGGATAAGAGACAAGAGGAGGATAGGAAGAGGATGGAAAGACTTGTGACTTGCCCGTTGGATTTTGCGATAGGGTGAAGCGATTGATGGTCGTGAGCCGGTAGAAGCTGACAGCAATGACGCTAGGTTGGCCCGTTAGTTTACGACCGCTCTCCCGTATAGTCTTCTTAGTACACTAGACTCACAAGATTCCAAAAGCGAACATGAAAGACGACAGGACTCTCTTCCTCAGCGGAAGATTTAGTCGCGCAATAAATGGTAGTGGGATCAACAAGATCCCAATATCAATGACGATGGCGACAAAGGCGCCCGTCCAGAGATTGCCGTTCTCGTTGATACAGTGACCTTCATGCTGGCCGTCCCATGATGTCCAATAGTACTCAAAGGGCGTACAACCGAATAAGTTGACTAGGTCGAAGGCGATGCAGCACGAGACGCTGAGAACGAAGGTGGCCTGGATCAGACGTCGTGCCAGCGGGATACGGCCAAATATGCGG